TTCCTCCAAATCCGCTATAACTGCGTCGAGCGTCCGCCCTTGCGCTGCGTGCGCCGTGCAGGCCAACCCGGGTGAAATTAAAAACTGTCTCCGTCGCACCCCCAACACGGGTTTCTTGCGGTACGAATCCAGGTGCCACGTTCTGGCACGAGGGACAATGGGATAGAGCCCTGGTCCCGGCATCCCTTTGAGCGTCCATTTGTCGGTGTGAAAATCTAACACGATTTGCCTTGGCATCTCACGAAGCACTCTCGACGCCACGTCCTCCACGTCTGGCTCGTCTTCATCCACCACCCACGAATGTATCGTCGCGCGGCACCCCCGTAGCAATTGCTTCTCTGACCGGTCCAAATGGTCCGTGAGTGCAACTGGCATGCCCACGGCAAGCGGCAACCAACCTGGCATGTCTGCACAGGCTTTGTCGTGGTATCCGAGCCACCGCACTTTGTCTGCTGAGGTGTATGGCCGTTCCTGAAACGTTGCGTGACGTGCCGTGTCCCGCGCATACACCCACGAAATCTGTTTCTCCTGGCACGCCGCCCAGTCTACAGCACGCTGCCGCGCTACCTTGCACTTCACATCCTGGTTCGGATAAATCGCTGTGGCTTCGACGAACGAGCCCGGTCCGGTCGATTTGGAGGGGGGGGCGCCGTCTGGCCAAAGCTCATCAGGGGGGTTCCGGCCCTTCCCGGGCTCCCTGGAGCCCGGTCTGGTCGATTTGGAGGGGGGGGGGCGTCCGGCCCGAGCTCATCAGGGGGGGTCTGGCCCTTCCCGGGCTCCTTTTGGCCCCCAAGACGGTCCAAGAGAGCCCCGAGACGCCGAAAGATCGTACCAAGACGCCTAAGTGAGATGCTTCCTCCTCCCGACGGCCCCGTAGGCTCCCAAGAAGCCCCCAACACGGCACAAGAGGCGCCCAAAATGGCCCAAAAGGGCTCCAAGACGGCTTAAGAGGGGCCCGAAAGGGGGACCACGAAACGAACATTCCAGACGTCCGCCCCTAGAGGCTCCCAAGAGGCCACTCAGGGCTCTCATAACGTCCTAGACAGCCTCGGAGCCTCTCAAAGCCGTCCCAAAACAACCTAGGAAGCCCCCAAGCAGACTCAAGGTGCTGAAGAGGCCACCCAGCCACGTTGCCACGTTGCCACAAGCCCCGAAAGACATCCCACGGGACCCCATGACCCATCAGGGTGGCCTCGGACCCACGAACCAAGCACGATGGCAGGATGGTCCGAACGCAACAGATCGAAGGCTAGGGAGGTCTGACCGCAAGTGCCCCCAACCAAGAAATCGGTGTCGGTGTCGGTTCATGTCGTGCATGGGGTTCTCCCGATAGTTGTCCCGATGGTTGTCCGGATGGTTGTCCCCCTGTTGCCCTACGAGACCCCAGGACCGTCGGAGATGAAGAACTGCACCGGATGGACCACGGGAGCGGCCCTGGGCTGGACCCCTGAGGCCTCCAAGAGGCTTCCCCAAAAACCCCAAGCACAAAAAGCGAAACACATATTTTCAGCAGGTTCGCCTTTTGACACCAGGAGGGCTCCAAAACGGCAAAAGGACCACCAGGAGAGCTCCAAGACGGACAGAGAGACTCCCAGTCAGCCGGACGGAGAACCTGAACGGACACTTCGAACATTCAGATCCAAGACGCCCCCAACGTGCCCCAGGGACCCCCAGGAAGCCCCCCAAAAAACAAAGGGGTCGGCGGTGTGGCGTAAGCCTAAGAATAACAGGATGGCCTATATTTTCCTGTATTTTCTGGGTTTTTGTCTCCCCCCACTTCCCATATTTTTCCATATTTTCCGGGGGATCGACGATTAATTGTGTCTGTGTTTTTTCACCCCCTAAAAAGCTTCCGATGAGCGCAGCGAAGACGAGGTGTGCGCCGCGCCGCGGCCGCGCTGCCGTTTCCACACGCACAGGCTGCGCGGGCCCCAGGCGAGGACGCCCCTTCGCCTGCTCTCGGGCGGCCCCGCTGCCGCTGCCGCTGTCATGTGCGCTGCGGCAGACGAGACCTATGCGCAAACGCCCGCGCGGGGAAGGCCAGAGCCAAGCAAGCAGTGCACGGAGGCTGGCCGAGGGCAGCGGGTCGCCCGCCCGCGCGGGGCCCCCCGAACCCTGCGAGGAAAAAGATGCACCGCGCCCAAGCGGGAACGCCACACTTCGGGTGAAGAGAGGACGGCATTCTCCTCCGCGCGCACGTCGACGCCTTGCCGTGCGCAAAATGAGCGCCGCGCTCAAGCGGGAGTTCAGTCCTCCGAAGAAGTGATCGAGGCGCGGTGGCAAGAGCGACATTTCGCCCTTTTGCGCGGGAAGTGCGCCCCGTCCGACTCCTGCCGCGCATCCTGCGACGTGGACAGCAGACGTTGCACCGTGTACTGGCAGGCAGGGCGGGGCGCGACGCACTGACGGGCTCTCGGCTAGCTAGGTGGCAAAGAAGGGATAGTCTCCGGATGTTGACGGCCGAACGCTGAGCCCTCCGCAGAAAACCATCGCGGCCCGGCAACTGCGAGCCGAAGCATCGCTCGGACAGCGCCGCGCACGCGAGCAGGAGGAGGAGGAGGAGGAGGAGCGGGCACATGAGAAGAAGCGACGAGCTCGGGCGCGGGAAACGGACGAGCGGTGGGAACATACGAGCGACACAACCTATCAGATTGCGTAGGCACGGCCAGCGCCAGCCGGCTACACGCAAGAGTGACCCCGGGCAAGGGTGACCCTCGGTGCGCGGTTTCACGGCGGGCGCGAAGGGCCCACGCCAAGCGAGCCAGCCGCTGCTATCGCATCTCGTTCCGCGATCGACCCCCGAGAAGCGCGGAGGGAGGGAGGAAGGGAGGGAGGGAGGGAGGGAGGAGGGAGGGAGAAGGAGGAGGGAGGGAGAAGGAGGAGGAGGAGGAGGAGGAGGAGGAGGAAGAGGAGGAGGAGGAGGAGGAGGAGGAGGAGGAGGAGGAGGAGGAGGAGGAGGAGGTGGGGGGCGTGGGCCGGGGGAGTGGAGGAGGGGGAAAAAGGAGGGAGGAAAAAAGCTAAAAATGGAAAAGAGGAGGGAAAAAAGACGAAAAAAAGGAGGAAGGAAGGGGAAGGAGCGAGAAGAAAGGGAAAGTGAAAAAAGGCAGAGGAGGAGAAAGAAGAGGGAAAGGAAAAAGGGAAAGGGAGAGAGGGAACGGGACGGAAAAGGAAGGGACAGTGAAGAGGAAGGAGGAAGGACAAAACAGGGGAAAGGGAAAAAAAAGCAGGGAAAAGGGAAGGGTAAGGAGGAGGAAAGGGAAAAATAAAAAGGAAGGAGGCAGAAGGGACGGCAGGAAGAAGGAGCAAAGGAGGAAAAGGAAGAAGGGAAGAAGGTAAAGGAAGGTAGGAAAGAAAGGGCGAGAGAGAGAAGAGGGAAGGAGAGGAAAGAGGGAAGAAGGGGGATAGGGTAGGGAAGAGTAGGAAGGGAAAGAGACATGCAAAAGAAATAAGGGAAAAAGGAAGGGAGAAGAGGAGGAAGAGGCAGGACAACGGGCAAAGGAGATAGGGAAGGGGAATAGGAAGGAAGGAGAGGAGGATGAGGGCAGGTGACTAGGAAAGGGACAAGGAAGGGTAGAGAGGGGACAGGAGGAGGAGGAGGAAGACCAGTGTAAACCCAAGATAATTCAACGATGTTGGAATAAACCCTCCCTCCAAGCTCCCTCTTCATAGGCTCCTACAACGGTTCATTTCCATTGAAGGATATGCCTCTTTGGCAGACAACCGTTTAAAGGCCCTGAAGCAGGCCAAAACATTGTTCTCGGGATTCCAACGCCACGGATCAACCTGATTGTTGCGTCTGGGCAATCCTGAATCGTGCTAGGAAGCCGTTCCTGGGACTTCAACACAGCGAATCAACATACCTGTTGCACCCGCATAATCCAGAATCCGTTCAAAACACCATGTTTGACACGTTGATGATGGGAACCCGTTGACATCTGGCAAATGTTTAAAACGAGTGTGCGCCGCGCTAAGGCGGGAGCCACATGTTGAAAAGGAACCGCCTTCAACCCGTGAAGCTCTTCCAATATTTAAAACGAATGTGCACCGCGTTCAGGCGAGAGCCAATTTAAAAAACGGCCCGCCCTCAATATGTTGCACATGTTGAAAGCGAATGCGCGCCGCGCTAAGGCGAGAGCCACATTTTGAAAACGATCCGCCCTCATTCCGCGAAACTCTTGCAAGTTTCAAAGCGAATGTTCGCCGCGCTAAGGCGAGCACCAAATCTTTAAAAAAAACACCCGTTCTCAATCCGTGAAGCTCGTGCAAATGTTTAAAACGAATGTGCGCCGCGCTGAGGCGAGAGTCACATTTTGAAAACCACCCGCCCTCCATATGTGAAGCTGTTGCCAATGCTTAAGCTTCAGCATCATGAATGGTAAGGAAGTCTCAGGCGAAACGCCCAGCCCGTCCAAAAAACTGGCCTCGGGGTGCGACAGGGAAAAGCTATTAATCAGGAAGGGAATGGAGGAGGAGGAGGAGGAGGAGGAGGAGGAGGAGGAGGAGGAGGAGGAGGAGGAGGAGGCGGGGGAGGGGCAGGGAAGGAGAAGGGGAGGAGTAGGCGGAGGAGGCGGAGGAGGAGGGGGAGGAGGGGGAGGAGGAGGAGGAGGAGGATGGAAGAGGAGGATGCGGAGGGAAGAGGAGGAGGAGGAGGAGGAGGAGGAGGAGGAGGAGGAGGAGGAGCCATGGGCCCGCATCAGAAGAGGTCACTGCAGCGAGGGGCTACTCCTACGTGGTCGTCGACGCAGCACGCGGGGCTGGGATGCGCGGGCGGTGGTGGCAGGCGCCCGCCGCGAGGACCGGGCGCTCCCTTCTCGCCGACGCCGCCGTCGGTCGTCGCCGCCAGTCGTCGGCCGTCGGTCGTCGTCGGTCGGCAGTTGTCCTTGTTCGTCGCTCGTCGTCGTCAGTGGTCGTCGCGCGTCGTCGTTTTTCGTCTTTGTCATCGTCCTGTTCGATCGTCGTCGTGCGCCTCAGCGCAAGTGTCCCCCGCGGGGGGGTGGGTCCTCGCGGCCGGGCGTGCTCCTCAGGCGCCTGACCTCCCTGCGGAGCTCGCCGTTCTCGGTCAGCAGCTCTCCTGGCGGACTGGGATGGGGGGGGGAGAGCTGGGAGGCGAGGGGCGCTCCCTCCCTCCTGCTCCTCCTCCTGGACGCCTCGCCCTCCTGGCATCCCCGCACCAACACACGCGTACCTCATCTCCTATTATCGTACATTCTCCATCCTACATGTCTTTTTTCCGTCTTCCTACTCCTGCCGTACTCCATTTTTTCCTCCTTGCCTTTATCATTTGTTCCTCTCCTCCCCCCTCCCCCTCACCCTCCCCCTTCCTCCCTCATCCTCCTCCTCCTCCACCTCCTCCTCCTCCTCCTCCTCCTCCTCCTCCTCCTCCTCCTCCTCCTCCTCCTCCTCCTCCTCATCCCCGTAGCCATTTTGGCTCGAGTACGAAACCGTGGCCCTGCGGCTTCGTGCTTGCCTGCAGCCGAGGGGCCGGCTCGAGACGAGCCGCCCACAGCAGGCCACTGTTCCCGCTCTGCCACGGCCAGCCCCCGCTGCCGTGGCCCGTCTGTTTTCGAGCTGTATCGAGCTGTATCGTGCGTGCGCCATGTCTTGGAGTTGGAAAAAGCCCATTGCATACGTGTGTTGCCCCAACCCCAGTTGCCCAGGTTGGACCTGGGCCAGCCGCCGCAAGCCGTTCTGCGGGCTCTGCGGCACCCCGCAGCCCCCGCAGCCAGGTTCCGCGCCATCTCCAGGGACCAGCGGCAAGGGGAAGGGTAAGGGCAAGGGGCAAGGGCAAGAAGGTTGAGGAGGAACGTCAGGAGGAGGTGAATCTGGAGGTGGTTTGAAGCAGCCCCCGTGGCATAAAGACACGATTCCCTCGTCGCCCCCCCGAAACCGACCAGTCTTCCCAAGACCTCTTGATGGCACAGCATCTTGTCAAGTTTTACAAGGGCTGGGGAGTGCCGATCCCAGGTTGGTCGAAAGCCCAGTTGGAGTGTCTCAACGCCCAGCTTGCTTGCCTGCGTCCTGAGTCATCCTCGTGCGAGCCTCCTGAGTCTGAACCTGAAAGTGTGGTCCACTGGGTCCAGGGTCTGAAGGGGACTCTGACAAAAGAATTTGCCTGTCTCTCTCCTGAGGGGAAAAAGCAGTTGGAGGATGGTTTCTCGGCTTTGGAAGGCATGTTGACTAAGATGAAGGACCAGTTGGATCTTGACGCTCAAGCCAGTAAGCTGTTGGAGGGAGCCATTCAGAAGCCCTTGAAAGGCCTGGAGGATAAGATCACACAGAAGAACATGCAAAATTCCTTGGAGGAGAAGCAGCAGCTGCCAGCAGTTGATGAGGAGGAGCCGTATGAGGTATCTGATGAAGATATGGGACCTCGAGGCGAGAAGCGCCTTGGCGAGGACCTCAGCAGCCTCCAGGAGCAAATGGAAGCCCTTCGTCAAGAGTGCCCAGATATTCATGACCAGGTGTGGACCCTCGTGAAGAAAAATCTGGGAAAGCTGCCGAGAAAGGGAAGGGCGCCCAGCAAAGCTCAGGAGGGCAAAATCCCAAGCTGAAGCCTCCAGGAACTGCGTCATCGTCCTCAGCAGGACCTCAGGGCAGAGGAAAGGTTGGGAAGGGGAGGCCCCCAGCCACTGCTGCCGCCCCGCCCAGCCGGCTGCAGCCCCAGCATCCAGAGGGGGGGGCGGCAGGTCCAGAGGACGTTGAGTTGTGACAAACTACGGGCCAAGGGTGGGCCCTGCAAATAACAACCCTGAACACGAATTCGCTTGCTACTTTTAAGGCGAACTATGACCATGAGTCTGGTTGTTTTCAATTCCCTGAGGCTTCGATTCTTCTCCTGCAGGAAACCTTGTTAAAGGACGAAGAAGCCATGCAGTCTGCCAAGGAATGGTGTTCTGCTCGTGGCTGCCTAGGGTACTTCTTTATGGCCTCTGGAGGTGTGGCTATCCTATTAAGGGCTGGGCAGGATCTTGGAGCTAGTCCTGTACCTGTTAGCTTTTCCATGCAGCACCGCATCTGTGCCATGAAAATTGACATCCCTGGGCTCCCCAAGCTTTGTCTCGTCTCTTTGTACATGCAGACGAGTGTTGGGTTGAATGCTACTAGCCTTGAACTCTTGGAAGACATCGCAACTCTTCAGGAGAAGGTCCAGCTCCCTGTCATGATTGCAGGAGATTGGAACATGAAGGCTAGGAGGCTCGAGACTTCAGAGTCCCTGATTCGAGCTGGTGTTGAGGCGGTCGCTCCGTTGAAGCACACATGCATCAAGAAGAAGTCTCAGACCACTATTGATTTCTTTGTTCTCTCTCATGTGCTTGCCAGCATTGTCACGTATCCAGATTGGAAGAGTTGTGTGGGGTTTCTGTGGGAAGTGGCACACCCAGCATGTCCTGTTTTGAAGCTCGGCAGGCTGCTCTTGATGTTGTGCGCCCAAGTGCAACCATGGAGTTGGAGCGTACCATCAGTAGGATGACGGACACCCCCCTTAAGACTGCTTCGCAGAGGGCCCGCAGTGCTAGGATCGTGCACGTCCCTCCTGTTCAGCACTGCAAGAATCTGAAGTCGGCAGGGAAGTCCTACTCAGCACCCCTGAGGTGGATGGTAAAATGGGCCCAGGATGTCTGTTGTCACTTGGGAAATGAGGCTGATCTTAGAATGCATCTTGAGAGCTTGGAAGGCTGCCCCGCTGAGCACAGGTCGCCCCCTCGCTCAGTTGCCACTTGCACAGGGCCAAGTTGCTGTCAGAGGGTCTTCGACAGGACCTTGATCGGCAGTCTTTGAACATGTGCGTTGCTGAGGGCATACTTGGAGATTGCATGAAGGATCTTGAACTTGCTTTGAAGGCTGAAAGCTCCAGGGACACCCTCGGCTCCACCAAGTCCTGGAAGGAGCGGGCTCGCAGTCGAGGCAGCTCTGCCTCCTGGATGCACAAGTGGACCAATTGGAAGGATGCTTGGAAGCCTGGGGAGGTGCTGCAGCGCTCGGGCCAGTGGTCTGGGCAGCCTACCAGTATCCTCAGGGCGGAGGCGGATGGGCTGGAGCGGCTCTGGGAGGGGGACGCCCCCCTCCCCCCCCTGCTCCTTGGCAAGCGAAGCATGCAGATAGGAAGCCTGTTCCCCCCGCCCGCCACCCCAGACGAGCGGAGGAAAGTGTGTGTGTGTGTGTGTGCTGCCTTTAGCTCTAAGACGTCCCCGACGTTTGACGGTTTCCACCCCCGTCACTATCTGATGTGATCAGGCCAGCACTTGGGAATCATCGCCAGGCGTCTTAGATGTATCGGGCAGCGCGGGCAGTTCCCCGCTGTCTTGCAGGCGGTTGTGACGTGTCTCATACCCAAGCACAAGCCAGGCGCGGTCAAGTTTCGTGGTATCGGCCTGTGGGTGTCTCTGTATCGTGTGTATGGCAGGCGTCGTCAGAGTGTCGCTCGCTCTTGTGAGCGATCTCATCGGATTCGTTGCTTGTGTCGCCAGAAGGGTGTTTCCCATTCTTGAGCTCGTGTTCGCGCAAAACTTCAGGGCTGAACCGGCCAGCATGTCTGAGAAGAAGATTTACACGTCGGCTGTGCTTTATGATATGGAATAGTTTCTACGACCATATCGATGTAAACCTTCTCTGGACCAAGGCCGAAGACGCGGGGTTTGACACGCAGGTCCTTGCCGTGATCTGCAACATGCACCGTGCGACAAGGTTCTTCCAGATGGAAGGCTACGCGTTGGAATCTTCCTTTCCCTATGCAAGGTATTCTGGCGGGTTGCCCGTTTGCTACTTTCCTGGTGCAGGTATATTTCTATGGGCCAGTCTCAAAGCTCCAGCAGGACCTTGGAAGGTCTGATCTGTTCCCCTTCACCGACGACTGGGTGATTCCGAATCAAGATTCGGGCCCTAGATCCCTTGTCACCAGAACTGTCGAGAGCTCGGCCCAGGTAATCCAGTTGATCCAGGACGACTTGCAGTGTGTAGTTGCTTCTGATAAGTCTGCGGTCGTAGCTTCTTCGGGCAGTATCAGGCATGATCTGGCCAGGTCCATGGGGAAGCACATGCAGTCCAAAGCAATTTCCGCAGCCAATCTTGGCGTGGACACCACGGGAGGCCAGCTCAGGCGTCGGAGAGGTGCTACCCGTTTCTTGAAGGAAAGAAACAAGAAGTCGAACCGTCGCAAGCGAAGACTAGCAGCCATAAGGGAGGGAGGTGCCAACATGCAGCGGGTGTACCTCGCAGGTATCCAATCCTTCGGGCATGGGGGCCGAGGTGGTGGGGTTGGACGCAAGGGAAGTTGCAGCAACGCAGTCTTTCTTCCTGCGTGCAGTCGGAAGCACGTGCCCATCCAGGTCCCGCACGCTGTCGCTTCTTATTCTCCAGGACCCCGCCTACAGGCTTGCCCTGGGCCCTGTCATTACCTGGGCGAACTTGGTTTGGAAAGCAGCGACCTGCCCTGGATTCGAGCCCTCGCTGCCACGGCTGAGGGAGCTTGCCTCGGACATCCTGGTGAGGCCGCCGAGAGCTTGGAACCAGGTTAAAGGACCTCTCGGGGCTGCTGTCGTTTCTTTGATCAGAATATCCTGGGAGTTTGTCTCCCGCTTTGTCTTGGGGGACCACAAGGTTCAGGAAGTTGTCCTAACTAGCGCGTCTCCCGCCAAAGTTCTTTGTGATCTCAGAGCTGCGTGGATGCACGTGCTGGCTGCGAAGGCCGCTGGCAAGTTCGGGCACCCTGGGGAGATCTTGGACACGACTGTCTGTTGCCAACTGGTATCGCCTGGCAGTATCCTGTCGTATGCAGAGAAGTGCATGTTGAAGGCTTTTGTTACACAGCGCTTGTGGTCCAAGTGGCGCCTTGCTAAATGTGGCTATGCTGTGGAAGATGTATCGTGCCCTCTGTGTGGGTTTCCTAGGGGTGATCTTCACCACAGTCTGTTTGCTTGCTCTGCTACTCTCAGAGTTAGGGATGAGTACCTGAAGGAAGATGTGGTTGATCTGATCTCCCGAGGAGATAAGAAGAACCCTCTCATGTTTGGTTTCCCTTTGGTTCCTGGTAACATCCTGAGACCGCCCGATGGCTTCGGGCATGGAAGCTATTCCCTCTCCAGTGTGGACCCCAACCTGACCCCCCTGGAGGCGTTCAGAGACAAGACGTGCTTTCATGACGGGTCCTGTTTCAAGGAAGGTCACAAAGTCCATCACTGTGCTGGTTGGTCATGTGTATGTCTCCAGGAGGATGGGGAACCTTTTGCTATCATCTCGGGCAAAGTAGGGGCCAAGCTGCCGCAGACGCGTCCTGCTTCGGAGCACGTTTGGTTTCTGGCAAGTTGCAAGTATGCAAGCTCGGCGTCATAATTCTGCACGGACTACAAAGGGCTCGTGGCAGTGAACGAAAGGCCCTTGGAAGTTGTTTCTGATAGAAGGTCGTATTATGCTGGACCCGTTCTCCTTGCTCTGAGCCACCTGCCCAGCAAAGGCGCTCTTGCCATCGCAAAAGTGAAAGGTCATCAGAGTGCTGATTGTTTCGAGCCTTTCTCTGTGGACTGGCTTAGGGCCAAAGGAAATCACTGGGCTGATGTGGCTGCAAAGTCGGCTGCGATGACCCATTCCCGCCCGTCGGAGAATGAGCTTTTTGAGTTTAGTTTTGAAACGTCCAGCCTCGGGAGTTTTCTGATTTATGCGGCCAAAGCCTTGTTACTCTGGTCAAGTCTTGCGCCAGCCAGGCCCAGCAGCCGTCTGGGAAGGGTAAGCGCCTCCCACGCTGGTGCAGCCAGTGCCGCCACTGCCGGTGGCAGTGCCGCCCGTGCCGCCACCGTCAGCGCCGCCGCAGAGGTGCTGGGCGTGGCTGGCCGGGGAGAACCAAATCCCTCCACTCCCCCTCGGGGTGTCCCCCCGCCTCCTGCCCCTGCCCCCGCTGGGGCCCCTGTGGGCCCGTCCGCTGCCCCCGCTGTTGGAGGGGCGCAGGCGTCCCAGAGGAGGGATCGTGGCCACGAGTTCAAGTGGATTCGCGGTCTGTGGGCGTGCACGCGTTGTCTTGCTCGTGTGCGTTCGGACCCTCCGCAGCCTGCTGCGGACTGTCTTGGTTTCAACCCTGTGCTGTGCGCCCTTGTGCAGGAGCCTCAGGGGCACAAAATTCACCTGACGGGTACCCCTGATGGGGTCACCCTCTTCTGCTGCATGGACTGTGGCAGCGTCTCTGAGGGAGTCAGGCTTGGTGGGTTGGCGAGGGCCTGCAAGGGCGGGCCCTCCTCCAACCACACGCGTAGCAACCTCTTGCAGCTCTTGCTCGAGGCCACACGAACCCTGAACTGGGGGAACGAAGAGTGACATGAACATAATAACTCGGAGGTTCGCGCGGACCTTCGAGTTGTTATGTTTAATTCGGGAGCGGCCAAGAGGGGGGTGGCCAAGAGGGGTGTGTGCAAATCGTGACCGGCGGCATGTGCGCGGCCCAGCGGGGGGGCCAGGGACGTCATGGAATGAGAAGAGGCGCCATGAGATCAGGGGAAATATCCTGGCCCCCGCCATGAGATCCCCCCCCCCTAGTCACCACCCCCTGGTCACCACACCCCTCTTTGCCGCCCCCGACCCTGCGCGTGCACAGCCCACTTCCCTCCGAGTGCCTCCGGCCTCCCGGGGCGGCCGGCCCGCGGTGGCACCACTGCTCCCCCGGGGCGCCCCGCCCGCGCCCTCGGCCGACGGGGCGCTGCGGTCGCGTTCGGCCGGAGGGGGCACGCGAGAGGACGCGAGAGCCCCCTTCCTAGGGTGAAGTCGGGCCTGTCCCTCTACAGGGGGACGTTCGAAAATAGTCAAAAAAAATCTGGGGACGATTGCTTGGGTCTCTTTGCCGCCCCGATGTTTATGCCATCGGGTTGGCCTGACGGGGCCATCATGAACATGACGAGGCCCAGTCTGAGATTTGACGCGAGCCCCCGCTCTACAAACATCCCACGAACACCGGAGCGCTAGAATCCAGAACGCGCTCGTCAAAAAACGTCGGCAAACCCGAGGTCTGGCGCACTCGAGCCTTGCGCTTCCCCGATCCAGTGGACGTCGCCGCGATCCACGCCGACAGCGCTCCAGCAACGCCAGCTCCTGGCTATCTGTGCTGGGCGGAGACGTAGAGGGAGAACGGGCTGCCCGAGACGGATACGGAAAGAATGGGCACGATGCCCAACAGGACATGTGTTGCGAAACCGGCAGCGGCCACTGCTGGCCAGACGGCCTGTCTCCGATGGACAACGTCCGCAGCGACGCCGTCAGCGAGCCTGGTGCAAAATCGGCACGGGCTGCTGCCGGCCTCCCTGCCTGTGCTTGTCCGTGCCCGCTTCGAGCGCACCGAGCAGGCGACGGCGAATAAGCAGGCGGGAGAGGCCAGGGCCGGCGGCAGGACACAGGCTGGCGGGGCGCAGCCAGACCCCAGACGCAATTTTTTTTAATATTAGTCTTTTATTTTTTTGGTTAAAAAAAACGTCGAACCCACCAGGTCGGGGATCTTCTGACCCGGGTCAATCCAGATCCGGGTCAGCAGGAAACCAAACAACTGAAGTGCAGGAAGAAAAAACTGCAACGCAGGTCTTCGCAAACCCGGGTCAGCCAATAGGCGCGGCCGCCTCGCGGCCACGAGCGGCTCGCTAACCCGGGTCAGCCAGAGGGGGTCTTCGCAGGATGCTGCAGGATCTGGTGCCCTGGCAGACCCCCGTTTGCATTGACCCCCGTCTCGTGAGCCCCGACCAGGTCTCAGGGCGGCAAACCGCCAAGAAACTACGAAAACGCCCGATAACGCCTGAAAAGGTTCTTGAAACATTCTCTGGCGGGCCTACAGGCGAGCCAGGACGTTGCTCGCCACTGTACTGTATGAGCAGACGCCCTCCCCTCCCCGGGCGGACGCATGCGCCGAGCCGAGGGCGAACCCAGCATGCGCCAGCGAGGCTGTAGTACACCCACCCGTCCCAAGTCCACTCCTCCTCCTCCTCCACCTCCTCCTTCTCCTCGTCGTGCTCCTCCTCCTCCTCCTCGTCGTCGTCCTCCGCCTCCGCGCCCTCCCCGCCGAGAACGCTCCTGTGGACAGGCCGTCGGACTGCCGCCGCACCAGCTGGGGCCGGCCGCCCTGCGCGTCGGGCCTCTCCCGCGCGGGCATCGGCTTAAAGGGGCAGCGCTAGGGCCGAACACTCAGGGAGCGGCCAGGTTCTCCTCCTCCTCCTCCTCCTCCTGCTCCTCCTCCTCCTCCTCCACCATCTCCTCCTCCTCCTCTTCCTCCTCCTCCTCCTCCTTCTCCTCCTGTCTGTCGAACCTATGGATTAAGACCCAGTCTGCAAAATACGGACGCTTATTGAAGAAATCACACCATCGGATCTCTGGGGACGAAGCCAGGACGATGATCAAATCGGGTGAGGACAAATCGAAGGCCTCCGAGATCCGGCGGCTCTGGAAGATTTCTCGGGCGCCGCGGTCTTCTCAGAGCGTTCTGGAACGCTCCAGAACGGATGTATCCTCGTCCTAGCCCCGCCGGATGGATATGAAATCCACTGCGTGGATCGCTGTTCCAGGCATAGTTCCCTCCATGCGTTTTCCCAGAAAACTGCTCATACTTTTCCAATGGTTTTTCATACTTTCATTATTTGGGCAACATGCACTCGTACTTCCGCTCTTCCTTGGAGTCACACTTTTTCCATACTTCGAATTTCCCCCGCCCGGCTAACGGTTTGCCCGCCCGGGGCGCCATGATTCCAGGAATGGGCTTCCATACCCCGGATTGGAAATACCGACCGTCCATACCCCAGACTCGATGACTGCATGCCGCCCCCCCCAGATTCGGCTAGACGTAGGAGTGACCTTTCGCAGGAGTGACCTTTGGTGCGGGCACAGATGTGTCCCCAGCTGGCTGAAAACGAAACAGTCGCAGCTGGTCGTGCGCCGAGATTTGGTCCCGCCGCGGCCCCCCAAAAAGCCGCGCACCAAAGGTCACTCTTACCCAGGGTCACTCTTGCGTATAGCCGAAAGATGCGGTCGGGAACCTTTGTCGGGAGCGGCCAAGAGGGGGGTGTCCAAGAGGGGGGGGTGCAAATCATGACTGGCGGCATGTGCACGCCCCCCCTCCCCCTTAGTTATCACCCCCCTCTTTGCCGCCCCCGATGGCTACATGCCGCCCCCCAAGATGCGGTCGGGAACCTCTGCTTGGCGTGGCGCGGCGGCGGCCCCCGGGGCAGCGCGCCGCGCCCTCCGAGCGGGCAGCGGGCCGCTCTCTCCGCTGCGCGGGGCGGGGGGACCTGGGCGAGGCTCGGGAGGCTGCCTCTCGGGGGCCAGGGCTCCACGGCGCGCTGTGCCGCAGCGGGGTGGGCCCAGAGCGGCGGCGCGACGCGCTCGGCCAGGCCGAGGCTCCCGAACGTGGGCTCGGGCGGGGGACGCATCGACGCCCCCATCGCCCCTGCATCGCCGACGGGGGCCCTGCAGCCCATGCCGCCCAGGAACCGGCGGCTTCGCTCCCAGGGGCCCGCCGCAGACTTGCGGAGAGATGGGAACGATGCCCAGCAACAGCTGCTGGCCAAAACCGGGGGCGGCGTCTCCTGGGCAGACGGCGTGGGATCTCAAATGGGCAACGCCCGCGACGACACCGACAGCGAACCCAGCTCAAAATGGACACAGCATCAGCTGTTGGTCTGCGTGCCCATTCCTTGCGTTCCCAGCTCGACTGTACCGACCCTGAGCCGGTCTACCCTACTCCAGATTTCACAATAAAAGGGGGGTGGTCTGATTTGGGATGGGGTCAGATTTGAGCTGTCCTAGAGGGCTCCAGTGGGTCCGGGCAAAAAGCGCCCCCTTCGTGGCCTGTTTGGGGGGGTCTGGAATTGCCCGTCTGTGAGGGCTGCGACCCCCTCCCTTTCGTGGCGAAATCTGGAGTACCGTTCCCCCGGTTCGGCACGAAGGGCCGCGACCCCGCGCGGCGCGCGCAAGCGCGCCGAGGGGGGGAGGAGGCGGGCGCGGCCCGGCGGCAGCGCGGGGGGGGGGAGGGGGCGCGCGGCTCTCCGGCGGGCCGAGCTCGGCGAAGGGGGCGGCGGAGGGGAGTGGTGACGAAGGGAGGAGGAGGATGGGGAGGAGGAGGAGGAGGAGGAGGAGGAGGAGGAGGAGGACGTGGAGGAGGACGTGTGGAGGAGGAGGAGGAGGAGGATGGAGGAGGAGGAGGAGGAGGAGGAGGAGGAGGAGGAGGAGGAGGAGGAGGAGGATGGGGATGGGGGATCTTGATGATGCAGATGGGCACTGGTTCTCTGGGCGGGGGAATCTGTCTGATATGATAGCGGCGCGGTCTAAACTGCGGCGCGAGCACCTGGGCCACTTGGGAGCCCGTGCGAGGTGAAAGCTTTCTCATAACTACCATCCCAATTCTGCACACTTGAAATGCGGAATCTGGATTGAGCGGGGCATTCTATATGGGAAGTGCAATGCGCCGCGAGAAACTTGACCAACAACGGCTTCGGTATAACGCGAGACATCGTGAACCCCGCGCACGCACAAACACTACTGGGCCCTATTTCCTCCAGTGGGAAATCTGTCTGATGGTATAGCGCAACTCTCTAAATTGCAACATGAGCACCTGGGCCACTTTGGAGCCCAGCAAGGGTGAACACTTTCACAGACCATCCAATAGTAACGAGCGGCGCGGTGCATCCTAGATCGCGAAGGTGGTTCCGGGAAAGCTGTCTCCGTGCACGAGCCGTTTCAATCAGAATTCGAGCAAAGAGCTGCAATGATTCAGGGTGCACGGCTGGGCGATAGCAGCCCACATTTGGCCGCCAGGCCACCCCCCCCGTCAAATTGAAATGAAGCTGACTCCGAGAACAAAGGCCATGGCGGCCATGGCATCGCATGGCCGCCAGATCTTTCAATTCTCGCGTGCACACAACCCCAGACAGCAAAAACGAGTCCTCTCTCTCTCAAGCGGGCCCCCATCATGCAGCAACCACAAACTACCTCGCTGACGCGAGG